ACGATTTCGTTTTGAGGAATAATCTCTAGGGTTTAACGCTCAAAGCGCTGTAGAAATGTCTAGAAATATGAGAGTGTGTACCCAATGAGCTATTTTAACTAATTCAACAGATTATTTTTGATACAGATGGCCCAGCTGAAAGTTGGAAGTCAATTTTCGACATAAATGTTCTGGCTCTGAGTATCTGCACGAAGGAAGCAATCCAATCTATGAGAGACCGAAACGTCGATGATGGTCACATTGTTCATATAAACAGGTATGTTACCTGCAGGTTTAACAAGATCTAATAAGAAGATCCAAAGCAGACTTACGTAACGATTACGCACCTGATGTATATGAGAATATGTATCTATGTTCGAATACATTTTAATTACACAAGCGTAAAAAGGCTTATATAAACGTCAGATACTTATGACACTGTGAATTAATATTGCACATCTATAGTTCTACACTGACATAATTAATGGCATTGGCAGGCAAATAGCTCACATCTACATCTAGGTCTTCCAAGTTATTTCATCCTTTCAGGTTTTTCAAGTATAATTTAGTATCTGATGCATTTATCGTCTGTCCCATGCTTACTACATGCCCGGCCCATATAATCCTCCTTGGTTTTACCCCCCTCAATAACATTTGATACAGTATAAATTATGAGTTTGACCCCCCTAAATAACATTTGATACAGTATAAATTATGACGTTCCTCATTATGTAATTTTCCTTATACTCAATTTTCTTTTTAACAGCACCCTAGGACACGTTGTACCCCCTGCGGAATTTGGGTTTTCAATGTATACAGCATCGAAATACGCTGTCACAGCGCTGACCGAGGGACTGCGAAAGGAACTTGTCAACCTGAAGTCCAATATCCGAGTCACTGTGAGTAAATAAATTGGATTAAACGCATAAATACGCTAGGCTTATACGCGGTAAATGGACAGCGCTTGTCAAATTACTGTTTCTGTGTCGAATTCCCTGGCCGATAATATAAAAGGTGTTCCTTTTAATATAAAACCATGATTTCACTTCTACCATCATCATTGATCCTATCCTCCCTTCATTCGGACAGAAAAATGAAGTGTTACGTCCATACAAAACAGTTACTAGGACTATAATTTGCCGGTTCATAAAACAACGAGTGTCAATCAGGTACAATATTGATACTGTTTGGTTTGTAGAGTGGAAAGTGCAGTTTTCAGTGGCGGTTCGTAATTTTTCGTAGCAGCACCTCTACAAAAACATGTAAAATAAAAA